AGTCCTAGTTTGGATGCGTATGTGCTGTTTCCTTGCTTCACTTTTGAATGAGTGATGATTTAATGTGCGCATTTTATCTGCGAGGGTTTTTTGTGTCTGAGCGTTGTTTATGGCCCGTGCTTGGCCTCTCTGTTGGCGGTGTCGATAAAGTGATGCAATGCTGTTGAAATTCATGCATATGGCAGATACAGTATCAATTAGCATGATTATGTTGGTGTGGGACATGCAAACTTTTGTGTTGTCTTTCTTGTCACTGTAAATCTTTGGTTCCGCTGAAGTAAATATCACATGTGACACGAACACCATTTGCATTTTTCCTCCAAATGCTATTCAGTGATTTCATATGCCTAATATTAGGAGTGCGCTGATTAATCACGGCTTGCAGTGTGCCTGTTTTTTATTTTTGCCTTATTAGACACAGCAGTCGTATTAGCCATAAAACGTATTTTTTATAATCTTACTTCTTTTTAAGACATAAAAATCGGATGAGAGAGAACACAGCAAGAGAACCGAACTTGTCAATAAAAGTTATGTACGCCATAGGTGAGTAAGCGTTCACTGTGCAGGTGTCGGTGGAACAGCACTAATGACTCTGTCACATTTGCTAAGTCGGTTGACGTAGCCCATGTATATTAATAATTATAGCCACATGTTGTGAACTTGCAATTTCTATGTAAAATGATCAGGTTTTGTTACTTAACCTGTGATAAAGTGAGTGCTATAAATGTTTCTGGGCTCCCATCCCTCTCTCCACAGTGCATTAATCAATGCACGTGACTTCTGCCGTCCTTGGGGGCTTACTGTTGAGAATGCATTTACCCCAGTTCTTAAATAACACCTGATCATGGTACAAATGAGACACATGAGTTTTCATGCATGATCTCCAGCAGTCTGGATGTATTCTTCCAACCAGAGGAGAGTTTACCACCTGTTTAAAGAACTGACTGGACGTGGAGAGGGTTTTTATGCATCTCTTGTGACTCAAATGCATTCAGATGAAACATTCTATGCTAGTGTTTGACCTTTAAACTGTAAAATTAATGTTCTGTTATTTAAAGCTACTCAATCCAGGATTAGGCTTGAGGCCATTATGTCAAGAAATAAAGACAGTTTTTGCATTTTATCAGACTTTCATTGACAAAATATACGATGAACACTGCTTTTATTGTTGAACATCTATGAAGGGAGGTTTGTTAGGTTTAGCGTTGTTACCAAGGACCAATGTTTGGGACAAGATCTGAGACCTGAGATTAATTCTGACAGCTCAGATAGCAGCGTCAGATCGAAGCCAAAAGTCGCAAGTGTGGGCGACAAAGCAGCCATATTTGGTGATTTCATTTGAAACAGAGAAAAACACCACATTTCAAAATAGATTTCCATTGTCGACATAAAGATCTGTTTCAAGCTGTCAAGAGGGAGGAAACAGAATTGGCAGGAGATCAGGAAAAAAGTAGTTAGCCATCAGATTGTGCTCCAATAAAATCCAGATGATTGTTTGAGGAAACAGACGGCAATGGATGCATGGATTTTCTTTATTGTTGTTAAATCATGGACGTCATATGGAACACAAATTCAGATTGGGCCATGTTATGTTTAAGATTCACCTTGAACTAAAACAAACTGATTATTAGAAGTAAAAACCAAATATCTAAATGGAGGTAGCATTTAAATATGTCCAAAGTTTGAACGGATCTGGGAATTTCTAAAATATATATATATATATCATGTTTAGTCACAGCAAGAAGGACTTGATCTGGTAGTTGGCCGACTGGGGCCTGTCGAGTCTGCAGGTTCCTCCAGTTGTATGGGTTTCCTCTGGGTGCTCCTGTTTCCCATCAGTGTCCAAGGACGTTTGGGTTTGGCTAATTGGCGACTCTGTTTTACCAATAGACATGCAAGTGAATGAGAATACTTGTAATGTGCCTTGTTAATGCGTCAGCCCTGCGATAGCCTGGAAGCCCGTCCAGGATATACCCAACCAATGAACGTGTGTGAAGATTTGCTCTAGTCCTTTGTGACTCGTAAAAGGATAAAAGTTTATTGATGGATGGGTGAACAAATAAAATGTGTAGAACTAAGTAGCCTCGCTTCAGAAGGGTGGTGTTACAATCACCAACCTCTTCCCCCGTCTTTAATGACAGAATCAACTCTATGCACTTTGGTTCTTAGTTGTGATGCTTTACGAAAGGACAGTTGAGGGAAAACTGTGTAGCTAGTGCCACCTGTGTTTACACAAAGTCATCAGTTTACACATGGAACGGGTTTTGTCACCTATCCTGCCAGGAGCGAGGTGGAAGGGGAAACAGGTCGTCTTGACTTCAGTTCATTAAAACGCCTACAGTAACAATAACTCTCTTTTTATTTCACCTTAAACTTTACTAAATAACTACATTTACTGGTAACTTCATTGTGTAAACTTCACAAAACCTTGACTGACAATCTGGATAGAGATCTACGCAACTGCACTCAAATGCGACCAAAGTCTCATGGCGACTTATCGCAGGTGTTTTTGTCACCTGCATTCCTCATTTCTGCCGCTTCAGCTCTGAGCGGAAAGGTCACGTCAACAGATCCAGGGGACAGATATATGGAGATAGCTGGTCTGGCCAGTTTTCCACGGTGGCAGGATCTTACAGTAGCCTCTCTAGCAAAACTCTCATGTTACTGGTGTCTCATTTCACTAGCTCAGGGCAGTGGGCGAAACTCAACGTCCTTGGGTATGTGTCCTCTCTCTCCCCTATTATCTGTGTTTATCTATTGCTCGATAGTCTTTTACCATCTCGCACATTTACTTTGAAAATGAATTTGTGCTGATAATGAATGTTTGACATCTGAGCATTCCTGTTCCCTCTACACCCCTGCTGTCTTGCTTTCCATACATTTCTGAGTATGGTTCACAATGCTAACGTTGCTAATGAGGCGATGATGCATGGGACAGAAATCCCAGAGGTGATCCTTTGACTTTCCGTGTTGCCAAAGCTACGGTAATTAGGTGAATTTGTCATCATGGAATCTATGATCACTGCATAGTTTTGGTTTCAGTAGCAATACATTGTCCTTTTAAAGCTATATCCAACCAATGTTGCTGCTTTTCATAATGCCAGGTTACAGTTTCTGAGAACTAGCTGTTGAGAAATGGTGTCCAACCATGTTAGGAATTAAACACAATTATTGTAGGAGGGACCCAATGTTGTGTTCAGGGAGACATGGATGCATTGAAATGTACCATGATGAACCAAATTTTGGGCAAAAAATGTAACTAAAGGTGAACACTGACATCTACATGGCTGGCCAATCATGGCATTAAGTCGGTGTGAATGTTGGATACCAGGTGACACAGACATCATCTGTCCAATATCCTGGGCCACTGCTACATTACTGCATAAACTCCCCTAAAAGTTGTGGCCATACCAGAATTGTACTGGGGAAACTGGCTCAAATGTTCTTTAAAGCAAGTTAGACAGGACTCGAAGCTTTAAACATTGGTTTTAAATAATCAGCTAGCTGTAACTTAAAGATGAGTTTGTGTCGTGTTTATTTTGCATTTCACCATACCTCACGATCTCTGGCTGCACTGATTGTGCTGGCATTTACCCTCAGTGCTACATTCAACAGCCTCTGGAATAAAACAACTTATATATTCAGCTTTGAAAATATTATATATGAGGCCGAGTGTCATTATCATGCAAGTCAGAGCTCAGTTAAATCGCACTTTTGACAGTTCCAAATACATTTGATTGTTCGCTATCACACGATACCATCAGAGAGACGACTGATTGGTCCCAGATTCACTCTGCAGAATGATAACAAGCCCAAACATACAGCCAGAGTTATAAAGAGCTATCTTCAACAACAAGGAGAGCAAAGAGTCATGCAGCAGATGGTGTGGCCCACAGAGCCCCTGATCATGGAGTAAGTCTGGGATTACATGAGGAGACACAAGCAACTGTGACAGCCTAAATCCACAGAAGAACTGTGGCAAGTTCTCCAAGATGCTTGGAACAACCTTTAGGGTTTTTTTTTTCTCTTTCTTAAAAAATAAAAATATTGCACATTGAATGAAGTTAACTGACAAATAAAAACTGTTCATGTTTTTTTTTAAAGCATCCTCACTTCGCTATGAAGTGGTGACCTATGTGCTCTACAGAGTCATGGATGCTCTCTGAGGGCTTCTAGTGGACAGGTGTGGCATGACAGACTTTAAAAGCAAGGACATGGTGAGCACACAACACAGTAGTAGGAGAAAGAAAAGAAAAAAAAAATCAGGGACAAAGGAAGAGAAGAGGGATATTGGGCATGTGACGCATGACAGGATGCCGAGTTTGTTGACAAGACACAAACAAACAGTACAGCACACAGCGCACGTCAGATGCACGTCAGCTCAAACAGCCGACAAACAGTCGACAGGAGGGGTAAAGCAGGGGTCACAGCATTGTCAAAGGGCCAAGGCTCTAACCCAATTTAAAGCTTTTTCACTGGTAAGTGTGAAATACATGTTACTCAGCTACTCAGAACAAGCTTATTTGACCTTAAATCTAGCATGTAGGCTCCTTTACTTACTTCTTTGTACATTTTGCCAACAGGGGGCTATAGTGATGGGAGGCAAGTAGGGAAACGGAGCTTTTCAGGGATCAATACAAACGCTGATAAGAGCAATGACAAAATGAGTAGATGGCACTGAAATATTTTAATTAGGGCAATTAAATTTTTTTCTTTTTTACAGGTGTTTTTCATGTAGCTCATAGGATTTGACTAATAGGACTCAAAACAGAAATTGCCCGCACGCCACCAAAGTCACTAAACGTCCAAGTGGCATATCACAGACTGGCTGATTTTTTTAAAGCCTGTTAACCCCTCTTTTAAAAAAATCTTACCTCCCTAAGTTGTATCGTGCATTTACTTAAAATATATTTGGAGCTACAGAAAGAAAATACATTTTTATTTAGAAGAACATAGACAAAATTACTCATTTTCCTTCTCCCTGTCCTCTGTTTCCGTAGACATGTCAGTCGAAGGTGTTCGATCTCTCTGATGGAGTGTCCCAGTACGCGTGGTTTCCTTGCCGTGAGGCCCACCAGTCAGCATGGGGGTATTCTACCTATTGGCTGAAGGTAAGACCAGCATCCATTTCATATATCATAGGTGACACCTGAAAAGAAGGATGCATTTTGGTGCAGTGTTATTATACATTACTGAGTGTCAAACAGCTGTACTATCACCGGATACTGCTGTAGCTTTAGAGGATCATGTGCATAAAAGGCCTGGATTGAGACATAAAGTGATGAAGCATTAAGTTATCTATGCACAGTTTTGACATTTGCATATTAAAAAAGAGGGGAAAACCTTATTTGAATATCCACCTAGGTTCCTTTTTATCATCTCAGTACAAATAAATCTTATCAACCAGCTGCAGATCTGAACACCAAGCAGTTTAAAAAAAAAAAAAAAAATCCTGTTACATTTTTTATATACAGCGGATGTTTTTTTTTTTGTCCTGCAGTTTTATGGAAACAGCACAAAGCATACAATAGATAAGTTAAAAAATCTATTTCTTTGATTCTTTATTTTAAAAATAATAATAATAATAAAAATAAAACCATCATATACAACATGTTCCTGCAGGTGTTACTACATACACCAGATATTTTACTACTTACATTTTTAATTTGTTTCCATACTTTTCTTCTATCTGCTTTGTGCAAACACAGCCTGCAGTTCAATCAAATTTAGCTGGAAAGTCTGAAAATCTTTGTCATGTAACTGTTGGCTGCAGCTGAGTCAGTTATGATTTCAGAGTTACAGCAAAGAGAACAGATTATTTTTAATTATTTTTGTTTTTTTGTTTGTTTGTTTTACAGCAACTGATTGGTGCAAATGATTTAATTTTTTGTATTTTTAAAAGAAATGAGAAATGGAGAATAAAATTACTTGGATGAAATATCACGTTTGTAAATTGACAATATTTTTTGTGATATTTAAAGATTAGATTTGGTCCAACACAACAGCACATCACATTTGAGTGTTTTAAAGAAAGTCTTTCAGTTTTTACATTTTCTGGCTCTGCTAAATGGCTTCGTTTTTGTTTTAAAGACAGCATGCCTTTACTACCCGCTGAGTTTTGGGGTTCAGAGGGTTAAAGGTATGGCAACCAATATGACATCTTGGCACCAACAGCGTTTATTCTAGTGTTGAGTACAAGAGTAGGTGAAAAAAACAAATAATAATGCTCTGGTAGAGGATTTTTATTCATGTATTCCATTGTTTCTGTAGTTATTCAACCTAATGCTGCTTTTATTTTGCACTTCCTGTTCAAGCAATGCTCATATAAAACTATAGTCTGTCTATAGCTATAGTTTCCTTGATTTATAAACTGATTTGTATGATCAACGATCCTATACTTTTCTGATTAGGATGAGCCTAATTTTACTTGAAACTACTTCTATCCATGGACACCTCCTCGTTGTTGTGGTGGCTGAGGGATTCCAACATTGTGCAACTTCAAAAGCCCAAAGCAGAAGAATTACGCTGCAGCTTGATAACACATGTGACGGATCGGACATGATTCAAATTAGGAAAAGAAAAGAAGAAGGAAACGCACATTAACACCTACGAGAGATAGAATTTATGTTATGAAATAAAAAGCAAGACTAAGACTATTATGAGATGTAGTGATTTGTTACTGATTAATTGTACTCAGCTTTACACTCTGTTTTCCTTCATTCAGGCCCACTTTTCTCACCCCATGGTGGCAGCAGCAGTGATCATACACTTGGCTGCTGATGGGACCGGCTACATTGACCAGACTCAGTGTAATATTACTGTGCAGTTGGTGGACACCAAGGAGGGCATCCATAGTCTAGGTGAGAACTCTTTCATGGACTTTCAAACTGCAACCTGCTTCATTCACCTTTTGTCGAATATGAATGAAGAATGAAGCCCCTTAAGTGTTTGTCACTCTTATCCCTCTTTTTACGTCACTATCACTCTTCCATCCCGTCCGTCTCTCCCCACCCACCTTTAAGGTTGGATTAGTGTCTGGTTCTGTCCCTTACCTCAACCTCACTGCGCTCTGTTTTGTCTTTTGCCTCGTTGACTCCAAGGCGAGTGGCGTCTGAGCTGCCGCACCAACCCCTTGGTGATCCCCGTGAGCCACGACCTGTCGGTGGCCTTTTACCACACCAAGGCTATCCTGGTCATGTTCGCTTCCCGCCTCGTGGCCATCTCCGGCGTAGGCCTGCGCTCCTTCCAGTCGTTCGACCCCATCACGATCAGCGGTTGTCAGAGCAACGAGATCTACAATCCCACGGGGCAGAGGTGAGGCCAGAATGACACAGGCTCCACAATCAAAAATCATGAGATCAATTATGTGCATCTAGACAACTACGCCGTCACAGAAAGACACAGCTAGCACAATTAAAGGTATAGAGAACTGAATTTAGCATCATGTTTTCTTAAAGCCCTTATACAGATGTATATACTTTGAAAAAACTATAAAACTACACACAATATCAACTATGGATTACTGGCATTTCCATACATCTGAGAAATGACACCTTTGTGTGAGTCAAAGACAAAGAACTGCCTCATGACTAAGGTCTATATTTTAATGTTAGGTTCAGCTCAGTCATGTAACCAAAATCATAAATTTGTCCTCGACGTCATTATAATCTGAGTAAATTTCAACAATGAGAGTAACCCAACATCCACAACATCCATCCAAAAGCATAGACAGACAAGCAGTAGGTGTTGTATACAAAATAGTACAATCACAATGTAGAAAAAAAGAACGACAATATTTAGACAAAGTATGACAGTGTTTGTAGTGAAAAAAAACAACCAATTAACCAACTTTCACATTCCACTTTGACTGCAAAATGTCCCATATACTACTTTGAAAGTGGACAGACTGCGTTTAGACAGAAGACACAAAAGCAAAAAGGACAAAACAAGCTAAGACAGAAAGGCTTTGTTTTTGCCTTTGTTTTGAAATGGAGGTAAAGAAGAGGATAGAGAATTTGTGAAGCAGGAGGAATAACAAATGTTCCCATGTCAGGGTTCAAACCAGGATCCGCTGCTTGGGGTTATGCGCCTTTAGCCAATTGGCCCGCGGGTCGCCCTCAAGCTGTTTAATGTCAGACATCTGCCCGAAGCTACAGCTATAGCAGTAAAACATTGGATGTAACACGTATGACATCACTGGAAATGTACAATTAATTTGGACCTGTTGTTGAGCTCCACAAATTTTCTAACAATAGAGCTGCCTCCAGCACTAAATCTTGTTTACCGCCCCAGTTTGTTATGTTTTGAGTTCGGCTGCAGTACACACTGCATAAAAATATCCCGTTTCTTTGAAAAAATCCTGCCAAATGGACATGTTTCTCCTGTAATAGCTCCTGCATTGTTCACTGAGGCTGCCATTTGTGTAATTAACTAGTTGATTAAATAAATGGCCTGTCAATCAGGCAATAAAAGGTGACGCCTAACGCGGAGCTGTATTTCATATTTGGACGTTTCTGTGTGTGTGTGTGTGTGTGTGTTACAAAACGATTCACAACAGCTGAAACCTCAGAGTCTGACCCCGGGAATTAAACGTGATCGATTCCAAGTTAAAAAGCCATTAGCAGTCGCTAAAGCTATTTCCAAAACCAACAAAACCATTATTATCTATTTTACCCATCGGTTCGCAATTTCGAATCCACCTTTCGTTTCAAAACCGCGCCATTCCGAGTCGCTCCTCCTCGCAAACGCAGCCGAAGCAGACCACACGCACAAAAAGAGTCGCAATTTACCAATTTCCACACCACTGTCATGCATGAGACAGTTCACAGGGATGACGCTCTCCACCACCCCTTTCAACGCCAAGTGCGCCAATAAACACGGCGGTGCACAAAGCGCGGCTGGTCAGGGGGTTCTGTGTGCAGAGATAGAGCTGTTTGTGGCTTTTGTTGTGTGCCAGTGAGACATCCAAGAGCACCTAAATAGATTAAAACTGCTGTGTATCTGCATCAGCCAGGAAATTGTTTGTTACCGCACACACAGACGCAGTCGCCTTCTCCCGAGTTCTTGCTGACTTTTCTTTCTTTCATATTCTCTCATCCAATTTCCCCGAGGCTCTTTTATAAGCATTATGCATGTATGACGGCCGGCCCGCTAGACATGCATGTTGGGAACTTTTGAACACGCGACGAGCTGAGTGTTATAATATAGTGTTATGATCAGTTATTATTCACCGGCCTGTTCTTATGACACCAGAAGAGACTCGACCTCTTTACGATCTGCGTCTTTTCTTCAATCAACTTCCAATTCATCATCTGCATTTTGTCGTCCATATACCCCTCTCTTTCCAAATGACTTCTCCCTCTTCTCCATTTTACTTCACTCCGTTTTCACTTCCTCCTCATTCCCTCTCCTTGCTTTTCCACATCTTCCCTCCTCCTCCTCCTCCTCCCCCTTCATCATCGCCGTTATCCCGTGCTGTCTTCTCATCCTTTACTTTCACGTCATCTTCCTTTCCCTCTGACTGCCATCTCTTTCTCCTTAATTCTCCCCTTTTTTGTGCCTCCTGCTCCCACTTTCCTTCTCTCATTCTCCTGGGCTGAGCAGCATATTTCCCGTAATACTTATTCCTCCACAAAACACCACATCCCTTTTTCCCTGAGTTGTTAACAACAGGAGCTATTAACATGACTCAGTTTTATGTTCCATGCTTGTCTGCAAGCATATGCACATGTATGTTTTCCCTTTTGTCTCAGCTTTTCACACTCGTTTTTCTTTTTCTCAGTTTTCATTTTTTTCCCTCTTTTTTTTTTTTTACATTCACGCCTTCCTGCATTGAGACCTGTTACGTTAATTAATGCAAAAAGAGATATTCACATAGGTTTTTATCATGTTCTCTCTTTTCTTATTTTATTCTTTTTTGCTGTCACACGTAATAATATTCTCTTGCGGCGTATACTGTATTCTCATTTGCAGGGGAGGAGGATAGTTTTCCAGGTAGTTAATTGTAATTTATGTCATAAATTCCAGAGTGACGAGCAGAAAACCACAACGAGATTTTGTTCAAAGCCAAAGTGTCCACAGAGGAGGCCTCTAGGCTTCCCGAGTTGGTCCTCAAAGAAGACACAAGGCAGTGCTGCTCTAACTAGTTTTCACCTGCTCAGCTTAGCTTCGTGTCAACATAAGCTGACACAGTGGGAAGGAGAGAAATGAAAGCCATAGTAGCGATAAATAAATGGTTTTCATCATTATTGAATCGAGAGAAGAGTGAAAGTCTGCGACAGAAGCAGGAAAACAAATGGATGAAAAGAGGAAAATGCAGATTCCATTCTTGCAGGAGTGAGTTTAACAATGTTTCTCCAGACCTGTATTTTCTTACATCCTCTCTCTGCCCCCCCATACCTTCCCCTTCTTTCTCTCTTTCTCCCTCGGCTTCATAAGGGAACCCTATACTGTAGAATGTGGACTGTTGTAAAAAGGTGCCTTGGGCATCCGAGCATTCCAAGAGCATTAAATGCCTTCTCCATCAGGCTACTATGGAGCCGTGGCCAAACTCTGCCATTGTAGCCTGCACATAATCTATCCTGTTGCTCTTAATTCACAAACTATGCACACGCAGACACCCCATTTCGTGCACATAGCAAATATGGCAATCTTTTCTCCATGTGGTTTATTGATTTGATATGTTAAGCAGTCATTGATGGATGGATGTGGTTGACTCAATGCGTAGCTTTGTCTGTTTGTGAGCGAATGCGCGACTGCTTCCATGTTTGAGAGTCTGCAGTGTTATTTTATGCACAACATTTATGTTGGTTCTAAGTTAAAATGTGGTTTTCAGCTTTTTTCTCTCTCTCTCTCTCTCTCTCTGTTCTCTGTTCCTCTCTCACTTTCTTTTACCACCCCCCACTACCTACCCACCCACCCACACGCACGCACACACACAATCCCTCGTAGTTGTGTACATTATTCGTGCGAAGCCATTGACTGCCAGGAACCCTTAATCCGCAATGCAGAGCTAAAGTGCAGTAGCCCTGGCCGCCACTTCTACAACGGAGACCGCTGCACCATCTCCTGCAACTCTGGATACGTCCTGCAAGTCCACCAGGATGATGACATCATCAAGAGCCAGGTGAACACACGAGTGCACTGCTACACACACACATGTTTAGGCGCACGGTTAAAGAGGTACGAGGATGCATAAATGTACACGTGCAAACACTTAAGTGCAAAAGCATTTCTGCAGCATATGGAACATGCATGCAAACATGAATCTGCGAATGCACACGTGAACATGCATCGATGCAAGCTCAGGGCACACGAATGGCCGTGAGACAAAAAAGTGCAAACGAGCTTTTCTTTCTGCTCTCCTCTCCTCTATCTCTGCATTTATTTTGTCACCTGCAAAAACTAGGCTTGGCACGGCAAGCCTCCAGGGAGAATGACATCATAAACCTCCAGGTAGATGAGTGCTGCACTGAGAAGTGGAGCCCCAGTCTCCTCCTCTTGCTAGCTCGCTACACATATACAAAAACACTACACACACACACACACACACACACATGCACACGCACGCAAACGCACACACAAACACTCGCGCACACACTTACTCTCTACAAGCACAGACATAAAAGTGTTTAGTCTCTTGCTGAGCATGCTGCACCATCACCTCAAACAGTCACTTTGTATTGCTACTCCACTGGGACGATGACATCATCGCATAGTGTCTGCTCCCTCTCCCTCGCTCCATCCCTGCTCATTTCACACACATTGAAGTCTCTGTTAAAGGGCAGAGATTTGCTACCGCTGTCACTAAGCAGCGCACATTAAATGCTTCCATGTAGATACCGACGCACATACGGTTAAGTACAAGCGGCGCGAGGCAATCTCCTGCATAGACAGAACACAGATGTGGACGGATACGGTGTGCACACGGATGCATGCGCACCACAAGTAAACAAACAAACAGAGTAGTTGACACCACATTGTAAACCTTTTGGATTGGGGCCAAGCTGCTGTAAAGGCCGTATACACGCTTTATCCTTGTCCACGGCTTTGTAAAGCTGTCTGCAGGACAATCTATTAATGCTCCCTCAGAGAGCTGGGATGCTCAGAAAACAAGCTAAATTTTGTTTTTATGTGTTTTTTATGCGTGAGAAAAAAAACATGCCTGCTCTGAACGCGTGGGTCTGTTTGTGTGCGAGGTTGTAAACATGAAGAAAAGACGCAGGGGGATGCAAGAGACGAGTAAAAAAGAGGGATAGAAAGAATTAGTTTCCTGATGCTTGTTCTGGATTCTGACCTTAAAAATATTTCATATCATTTATAATAACTGCTGCCATTTTCCACGAGGCTGTTACTAGAATGTGTAACTTGTCCTAACTGGAGGCTTTCTAAAACCACAAAGGTGTTTTGCCATCGGTTTTCTATTACTTAGTGCTTCTAAATATTCATGTATGTCTGCATGTAAAAATAAGCATACAGCAGGTGTGTGTATGTGCAGCATATTTATATCAACAATCATACATATGATATGTACAAACACTCAGAATAGTCCTCCATTGAGTCTGCACAGATTTCTAATTGCATTACCTTTTGATTGACAGTGCACTATGTGGCAATTCATCAATGTCAATTCATTTAGTGATAAATTATGCTTTCCAGAGAGGGAGAGGCAGGAAAGTACAGAGAAAGTGGGGTGAGGGGGGGACAGGAGGGAACAGAAAAGGAAGTAGAGCTATGCCAAATACCTTTTTTTTTTGGACCCTGAATGTTTGCCACAAATGATGAGTGACAGTTCAAAGGTATTTAGAGGACTTGTTATTTATGAATAACTTTTTTGCATTCATTTCCTAAACTTCTGTAAAAGGCATGTGGCCAGTTTTCTTGCTATCAGATTAGCATCTTGCAGTTAATGGAAATGGATAATGTTGAGTTAGATATATGTCTTGTGAAATGCAGACTGTGTCGTTTTCCCTGTTAGATGTAAGATATCAGATGTTTTTAGATGTGGCCTTTTAATAACAATATGTGTTCTATGATGTTTGTCCTGTGGCATGGCGGGCAGTTTTATTATTAGAGCACATTTTACACTGATGAACAATTAAAACTCTGGCAGATGAATCCTGAAAGAGATGAATATTTTTAGAATTGTATTTGAATTTCTTTCATATACATGCATCGGGCTGTTTCTCTTAATTGGGTCGCAAAAAGAAACTTACTTTTGATGCATTCCTTCCAAGTGTCCAGGATGACATTTCTTTCCCCGTTTTGTCCTGCCATTAGAAATTCAGTTCAAATTCATCTTAAGGTGCCACCAATAATTTCTCTCTAGAATACAGTTTACCAAAGTTCGATGTGAGAAAGAAAGTTACAAATGCATGTCATCTGCATATAAACGAATGTTGCAACTCTAGACAATAATGCTTGACTGTGGTCATGTAAAGCATAAAGTATAGAGGGCTAAGGATTGACCCTTGTGGGACTCCACAGAGAATTTTTAACTCCAGTGATTTAAAATTGTGATCCAACTGCAAATTACAGGCTATGAATTATGATTTCATGGCTGACGGTGTCAAAGGTGCCTGTAAGATCCAGTATAACAAGAAAGAAAAGTGCCTTAGAATCTGTTTTAGTTTAAGCTGCTTTGATGCCATTATGTGAAGGCTGATTAGCACATACTAAGATGATGTTATAAGATAGAACTATGAATAATTGTTTGTATAAAACCTCTTCTGCTAATGTCACATTCTGAACAGTTTCTGACGAATGTGTTCTGTTACAACTCAGATTACTAGCTTGCTGTTCTATTCCAAAGTCAAGTCTTCTACCATTGATAACAGTAGACTTTGTGAAAGTCTTTGTAAGCTATGCGAAAGCAGTCTCAATGGGCAATAAAACACATAGAAATGATCATTTTCCATACACTTTTATCTGTTTGCAACATGTTGACACTGTTTCGTGGCTTGTTATATTGTCATTTTTGACTCCAACAGTAGCCCAGATATAACTGCAGCTGCTCAACTGCAGAACAGAACGAAAAATAAAACAATCCACTGGACACATGCTGCATCAAATAGAGGACACGTGCTGCAAGTCAGAGGGCTGGTAATAGATTAATCTGCCCATATTCATAGTTGTCATCTGCTCTAATTTCTCCCTTAAAGAGGGTAAAAGCGTTAATGGAGTTTATAAAAAAAAAATCTGATTCTCCTTGACCTCCCAGTGTGCATCTCTTCATTTAGTTTAAAGCCAGACGAGTCCTTACAAAGACACACACACCTCCGCACTAAGGTTGAAAAGTGCAGCATGAGGAGCAGCCTCTTGTCTTCTTTCATTAGCCAATTACATTCTTGTTTCACTGATGTCAAAGTGGTTCTGGGAACACCACCTTCTTAGATAATGCTATCTGCGGAACAAATCTGTTTCCCTTACTTGCTTTATTTGTATATGTGTATTTTATTGCTGTCTTCCCCCCACCCCCTATCTTCTTCTCTGATGTGGTCAGGGAACACTGAGTGCTGCCATTGAAGAAGTCACATCTATTTCAAATTGGCCTCTCATTTTGCAGGGGCTCCGTGGGCTTAACCACAGCGCATCGTGAAACAGTACTTACACATGTGAATCAGAATAAGCCCCCCAGACCGACATACTGTACCTGACGCTGATCAAAAGACCCTTTTTTGGTGGCATCAAAGCAATCGCAAAAATGTTCACAAATCCAGGACCCTGTAGGTATTATCATAATTTGAGCTGTTATGTGCAACATAAACTGAACAGCTATTAGGATCCATAATGACATATAATTTTTAGTGTACTTTTTCATTCAAGTGGGCAGTCAGCCAGAGACAGACTTTCATGTACGTACTCTGTTGGGCACCCAAATGCAGATGTTTGAAGATATTTTCCAGTGCATGTGCCCAGGGAGCAATTTTGATCGGAATGACTGGAATCCATTTTGGGTCTCTTAATCCATTTCTCATTTTATGTATTGTGTGGATCTGTGCTTGCTCCAGTTTTCGGCCTCTCCATAGGATATGTTCGCTCGGCACTGCTTTGGAAACACTTTGACCTTCAGCAAGCCACTGGCGTCCAAAGTGGAGTTTTAACACAGATGCTGCTCTGCTGCTAGTGTGAATGGACTGAACATAGAGGACAAATATCACCATGATCATTAATAAAGTGGGACTTGTAAAAAAAAAAAACATCTGCCAGATAGCTGATTTACATCAGTGCATGTCCACTTGTGACAGCATTGGCCATTATGTGTCTTCTGACGCATATGTCCGTTGAACATGTCCCTCTACTTATAGGGCAGATAGACCTGTGATTTATAGATCTGGACTTTAAATCACTTGGTTGACTGTGGTGGCTACCAACCTTCCTCGCACACCGTGTCTTGTAAATGCTAATGATAATAGGTGTCCCCACCAGGTCAGCGGTGCACGCCGGAGACCTAATGGCAGCTTTCAACCAAGTGTATGTACATTAGAGCGGCAGATATGTGTCATTAGCCCCACAGCGAGGGTGTGGGTGAATGGTGTTTTCCGCTTTACTGTTTAAAGGTCCTTAAAGCCTATTTTGTCAATCAGCTTTCTACTATGAACGTCGTACTGTACTATGCGGTCTTTCATAAGCATACAATTTTATGCCAAATTTAAAGCTTGGCATAAGATTCAAAATTCTTTGTTTTATGTCTGTGTTCTTCTGTGTCTTTAACATAGGCAAAGGCTCTGTTGGAAAAAAAATGTGGTGTTACAGTATTTCCATGCACCGATTAGTTTGGCAAGAATTGAATCAACATGACAATGTCTATTGATGTGTGGTTTAATTTTCCAAGCACTAGCGCTATCAATCTGATAAAACCTCACCCACTCAGCCCTGACTCAGAAAAGTTTAAACTCATAATAAAATATGCCTAAGAACTTAAAAAAAAACTACAGTTGATTGTGCTCATTTAGTCAGTCTGTGTCCAAGAAAAATAATTATATTAAATTATATATAATTTTAGGAATTGAAACCAACTTGTCCCGAGGGCTTTAAGGTCAGTGAGCCTATTTTTGAATTCTCATGAGTCTACCAGTAAAACTTGGTTGAATGACAGGGAAAACTGTGAATTGCAATCCAGTTCTTTAAAGCGACGACACAACCCTTTAACCTGTCGTCCCTTTGCTGACTTTATGGATGCTGAATTGGACAGACGTTTGTGTGGCTGGTTCAAACATGTAAATATTAATTTTCAGTGACCAAACCAGTACAACCCATTCCATGTCCTACTTATAGAAAATACACTTAAGTTTCATCTGTAACTATAATTGGAAGAGAGCTGCTCTGTACTTGGAGTCACGCTGGGAAAATTGTAAATGTTACTTAATACAAACTGTCCTTCCTTCACTCCAAACAAAAACTTTCACATGGTGTCTTTTTTCACACAGAGCGGTTTGAAAAACCAAGCTGATGTGATTATCTTTAAAAAAAAAGAGAGAGAGAGAGAGAGAGAGTGAAGGAGAGAAAAGAAAAAAAACTAACCTTCCCAGATTTTTATGTACTTGGAAGCTTCCCTGCTTCTGAGTACTGTTAGATTCTCAGTAACATGCTACTGTTCTGAACACATTCTTGTCCAGGATCATTTGTGGAACAGTTTAATGTTTTATACCAGTGTGTATATTCCAGGCAAATAAAACCTCTGCTTCTAAGTAAAGCATTTACTCCCCAAAGAAACTGTTCCGCAAAAGCTTTTTCATGAGGACTAGACAGCAATAAATTATTCTCAATTCTACTACTATTTGTCTTCCTATCAATGTGCGACTGTGTGCTACCACTGTGCTTTTCTTTTTCTTTCTTTTTTTTTTTTTTTTGTGCTTACGTTTACGTGCTATCCGAGCTGAGGCAAACTCCTGAGTTAAGGGAAGAAGCTGTCACTCCGTCGGTTCATTTGTCTGTTCGTCTGTCTGGCTTGAATTAGACAGAGTAGCCAAAGGTTGTTAAAATTGCTACTGGAAGAGAAACAGTCAGCTGTAAATTTTTTAAAGGAAGGAAAATTCCCACACATTTACACACATCGTAGTACACACATGCACACAACCCTATATATACAGTCACTTCAGAAAGCATTCAGACCCTTTCAGCTTTTTTTTTTCACTCTTTGTTGTGTTGTGGATTCAGCTTTAAACGAACAGGACAGTGTACACTCAATGGTCCACGATGACTGTGTTTTACATTTTTTTTTGCAAATTTGTTAACAATCAGAACTTGAAATCCGAAGCTCTGTTGGCAGCAATTACAGCTTAAGGTCTTCCTGGGTAAGTTGCTTCAAGCTTTGCACATCTAGATTGGGGCGGTTTATCAAATTCTTGCTTTCAGATCCTTTCAAACTTCATCAGATTGGATTGGAAACATCTGTGAACTACCAGGCCTTTCCACAGATGTTGTATGAGGTTTGAGTCTGGCCTCTGGCTGGGCCACTCAAGGACAGTCAGAGGCTTGTCCTAAATTCACTCCAGCGTTGTTTTGACCTTAAGCTTCAGGCCATTTTCTTGCTGGAAGGTTAAATGTCGTTCCGGTGTCCGTTCATGGCTCTGGAGCAGATTTTTTTTTTTTCAATGACCTCCCTGTCTTTAGTTGCATTCATCCTACCCTCGACCCTAGCTGGTCTCCCCGTCCCTGGCACTGAGAAGCACCCACAGCCCTGCATGCTTCACTGTAGAGATGGTATTGACCAGGCAACAAGCAGCGCCTGGTGTTTACCAGACATAGTGCTTGGAGTTCTGCCTAAAAAGTTGAGGTTTTGTTTCATCGCACCAGAAAATCTTTTTCCTTGCACTCTCAGAAACCTGCTGTTTGTCAACTATAAGTGGGCTGTCATTTTGCCTTTTCCTCAAGAGTGGTACCTGTGTAGCCATCTTTACCATGATTGATGGAACACTTTGGAGATGGTCGTCCTTTCAGCAGAATCTCTCGTCTCTGCAGAGGCCTTCTAAACCTCTGTTACAGTGACTGTTGGATTCCTGGTCACCTCCCTGACCAAGGCCCCCTTCTTCTTTGGTTACTTAATTTGGCTGGATAGCCATCTCCAGGCAGAGTTCTGGTGGTTGCAAACTTCTTCCATTTAACAATTATTTTGGCCACTGTGCTTCTGGGAACACTGAGTGCTTTAGAAATGGTTTTTATACCCTTTTCCTGATCAATACCTGACCACAGTTTTGTAGTGAAACCCAACAGATAGCTCCTTGGCCCTGACATGCAGTATAAATTTTGGAAGGTCAGCACCATAAAATATATGTCCGATACATAAAGCTTCACACAAATGGATGTCAATCAAGTTCTCAACGCAGCTCAATGATAAATACAGCAAACAGCCACAGCCTGAAATTAGAGGTTTCATTCTTGTGATTTGCACTGAATTTGAAAACTTTTCTAAAAACATGTCTCCACTTTGTCGTTATGGATTGTTGTGGTGGACAAAATGCAACTTGAATCCACTTTAAATAAAGTGCGATTGTAGCAGAATGTGCAAAAAGTGAACAGAGTCTATATATCAACCCCATGTACACACTTGGTGATTGATTAAGTATGAAAACAGCTCATGACAGATGCGTGTAAATATGTTTTTGTTTGTATCTGCACGTGCATTTCCACATCTTTACACGATCATGTTTCAGTTTGTAACTTAATCTGCACCTAAACAATCCAACAAACACATTAAAGATTTGCACATATATATATATTTCCTTCCACATGTCTTCAATGCGCAGGTTTCTTTTTTTTTCGGGAACCTGCCATCATGACTGACTCATTGAACTCTTCACCCAGTTATTTTTCAGAAGGCACTCACATGCTGTGCATATGTTACTTTTGTTGGACATCCAAATATGAAAGGAGCTTATTTATTTTGAGGGAATTTGATACTGTTATGCCGTATCATATAATGGGATCAAGATGAAAGATTGTTATACACGAGACGAGAGAGAAGGTTATGAAGCAACAGATACGTAATGTTAAGTGAGTCCAGCTTGAGAGACCTTAAAGTTTGGCCACTTCTTTAAAAAAGATGTGCGTAATTAAAGTCGACCAAAACAGATGCACAATGTAATTGATGGCAAAAACAAAGGTTTCCCTTTTTTTTGTTCTGCGAAGGAAAAAGTCAAAATGATTGAGCTCCAACAGTTCGCTTGTGAGATTTCTTGGCGCGGGCGTCAATTTGAGCATTCCTGTTGCGTTACATGGTGATACTTAATGGAAGAGGATGAAAACTGTTGAGGTTTGGATGATGCACTGGCTCCCCATTTTGGTCTCATCTCTGCAAATATCATAGTACAAGCCAAATAATTTACAGGAATCAGAGCTATTTCTAATAAGATGAGGAAAAATTTTCTGGTGGAAAAAGTCAGGAGCAAAGGATTACTTTTTTTTGTTTTGGTAACATTATGATTGCATTGTGTGTTTCCAGAAGCTCATATAAACCAGAAAAATATTGTGTCATTATATTCTCTGGACAATATCATCACCACTCTTGATCGGGAATGGTTGCACAGGATGTATTAGAGCACACACACACACATATACACACACACTCAATTGATGTAAAACATGTGGCATTTCAGTCAGACCTTACTAGCGTGCCCCATAATGGGAATGGAAGGGATTGTAATTCATCATACTAGAACGTACATTGTGCTGAAGATTTCCAAGTTGTCTTAGTGTGTCAGTGGAGGCAGTCGTAGTGGTCTTACCACTGCTGGGTTTGACTCCTGGCCTGAGACTGTTTCTTGTGGATTTTGCATGTTCTCCCCATGTGTGGATTTCCTCTGGGTTCTCCAGTTTCCTACCACATTCCAACAACATGTAAGGGCCCACTCACACAGGACGCACTCTGTAGGCTTGCGAACGTTGGCGAGGTTGTCTTGATTTTGAGAAGCTTGCAGGGAAAGAAGCACTGGAGGAGTGCTTGGAAAAGCTATGCAGCATAGATTTTTAGGAAATTGACTAACGTAATAATTGCACTGTCAGCTGTTTGTTTTTTCTCCCTTCAGCATTTTTTAAAAAGAAATCTATTACCTAAGTAGATTTTGGGTGTTAGTAATTTGCCAAAAATATGATCCTTTCTGTGACCACTTACTGAGTATCATGACTACACAGAAACTGTGAAAGATGATAAGTCATGGATGTAGGACAAATCCACAAAGGTTAGGATTCCAGTTGTGGAAGACTCCCTCAGTGTGTGTGTGTGTGTGTGTGTGTGTGCGCGTTTCTCCGAAGCTGTAACACTTCCACTGAAGTCAATCTGTTTGGGGTCAGGGCTGATTGTGCAGTTGTTGGATATCAGTTGTCTGAGTGGCATGACCTTACAAATGCTATCAGCAGTTACTTGAGCTGCTGAGTAGCCTGCGAGGCTTACTGACATACAGTAAGCTAAGCCCCATCAAGCTTTGTTAGGTTACACACTGATTAGAAACTTGTTGGAGTAAGTGCTGAATCGCTGTAGTCATTTTTTGTGAGGTAAACATTTATAGGATGTGTGCGGGACATCAATCTGTCACATCAATGTGCAAATTAAAGCCTGTGTCAGTGCCGACTTGTGCATATAGGCTGCTCCGAAATACGTCTGTAATCTATTTGTTTCTTTATATGTGACAATCATTTCACAGTAAATCTTTTCTTTTTATTTTCCCCCCAGTCTGACTCTTTGGTGACTATAACCTGTGCAAATGGGAAGTGGAACAAACAGGTGTCATGTGAGCCCGTGGACTGTGGTCTGCCAGACAAATACCACGTTCATCCCGCCCATTTCAGCTTCCCGGAGGGCACAACCTACGGCAAGAAGAGCACCTTCCAGTGCCGGGAACCTGCCCAGCTCATTGGTGAGATGCACATTGTGGAGCTTTGCATTACACATGCATGCACAGATGCAGATTTGAATGCTTTCCTTGGAAGGTCTTTCAAAAAATATGTCCATTTGATTGTTGCCACTGTAATCACTGGCATGTCTCTATAATTAGCCTGCAAATGTGAACCAGTTTTGGATGCGCATGTATGATTTTTCCACGTCACCGCAAGAGATATCATACATTTCATACTATAAAACTTAAAAAATATATATAAATATAGCATAGACCTTGGGAAAATTCAACATCAGTCCTACAGAATTAATCACTGACTGATCTTACATCTGTTTCTTTTTCATTCGTCCTCTCTGGATCTCATTTTTCACATTTCCTGACCAACACTTTCTCCCTTTTTCTCTCAAGGTACAAACAACACTCTAACCTGCCTAGAAGACGGTCTGTGGTCCTTTCCAGAAGCTCTCTGCGAGCTCCGCTGTCCGGCCCCTCCTCCCGTACCCAACGCTGTGCTGCAGACAAAGCGTTGCAACGAGACAGGTCTAAAAGTTGGCACGCTCTGCAAGTACAAGTGCAAGCCGGGCTACCACGTTACCAACAAACCCAAAAGGTAAAGAAGTGGTTGTTGATTTATTTGTTTCCTAATCAGAAAATGTTTCCCACTGAAAGTAGAAGGCCCGAAATGAATCCCATTAATCATCTGTGCTTCCCTTTAGGCGTGCGTTTAAGCGCCAGTGCACCGAGGACGGCAGCTGGCTCGAGGGGGCATGCGAGCCGGTGACTTGCGATCCTCCGCCTCCCATCTTCCACGGCTCCTATCACTGCACCGACGGCTTCCGCTTTGACAGCGTCTGCAGACTCAACTGCACCGATCCTGCCGGTAATGCTGCTATTGCCGCCACAGGAGGCTCTGCCCATACGGTGAGGCTGCTGCACACTCCATGCAAGCAGGTCTGTCCATCTCTTTCCTGTCTTTCTATTCTTGCTTTGCCGATGTTTTCGTCTTCTTTTTGTCGTGTGTATAAAAAGTAGACATTCTCTCTTTTTTTTTTCCTCTCTTCTTCGCACCTTTTACTGTTCACTTTATGGCTTTATAGTGATATAATATAATCCAATAATTGTGTTACTGATCCAACTCTCCATGCAGACTTACAAGTAATATGTGTTGGAATATTGTTTGAAAATCCCGACAGAAACACCCCTAACATGATACCATACAGTCTGCTCGTGATGGCTGATGGTAATGTGCTAAATTAATGATTTATTGAGTGAAAAATAAGTTTCCCCTCCCAAATATACTCTCCTTCCTCGCCGTCTCTTATCTGATACTTTTTACTCCGCCCTCACTATGCCTGTTTTTCTCCCTGTCTCCCTTAGCCCTACTCAATTTGACGCCATGCTAATTAGATTGCTATTGATTTCCAGAATAGCCCTGCTGCCACAGACTTTTGAAATGTATACACCTTTTAATCTGTTCTGCCTCTCAGGCGTTGTGGCTTGGATGCCTGATAAAAATTGGATTGTATTTCCCAGTTTGCAATGGGATGCCGTCTCAGTGTCCTTGGCCTGGTAGTGTTTGTGTACCGGTGGGTGTGTATCATTGTTTGTCTGTCAATATATGTGTTATTTTCAGGGCGCAGGGTCCAATGCGATCCGCTGCAGGAAGGATGGAAACTGGACAGGGTCGTTCCGCCTCTGCCCACACAGCAAAGGCCAGTGTTCTTTACCTCAAAACCTCCATTATAGCCTACAGTACTCATGCAAGCGAGGACACGGCATAGGTCTGTATGCACGAATTTACTGTTATACAATAACAATTCAATTTTCTTACTGCTGAAATCATCTTTCATTGTTCGTATTACTCACAGCTTTTTGTCCAGCGTACCGTTACCCTTCACTGTTCACATTACTCATTCCTTTTCAGTTCGTACTGTTTACTGTTTGTTCCTAATACGAGTCAACACAACCGCGGTTGTGTAACCTAGCGTTTCTGGATATCGCACAATGTCACAGTTATTTGTAAATGATGGAGGGGGAACGCGTCTGGGTGCGGTCTGCGCATACTTTTAACTGGTTTTATTTTTCTGTCTCGCGTACACACAGGTGAGGAGTGCGAGCTGACGTGCAGGGAGGGTAACAACGACGTGGTGATCCTCCCCAGCAACATGACAGTCGAGAACGTTCTTAAAGAGCACTGGAGGAACCCGCATAAAGTCAAGGTAAGCTCCTACGTGTATTTCGTGTCCGCCTCGCAGCCCTGACAGACGCACTTCACAAAGTTCTGCGATCCACGACTCTCCTTTAAGGAATTTCACGTATAGCGCCTACATCCTGGCTTTATTACCCACAATGCAAAATGCCAGCTTGTGCCTGTCTTTTGGTGCCCATTGCCATACAAATATTTGTCTTTGAAGCATGGCAACCCCTTTGAACACATTTTATTATATTCTTGAGAGGAAAACTTTTCCTCCCAGTCCTCAATATGACACAGCAGCTGCCCTTCTTGGATTCAGATTCCGACGTTGCTACCAGAAATAACCCGCGGAGACACAAACAAAACAACAACAAAACAAACTTTAATCACTTATTTTTTGTTGTTTTGTTATTCTCTTATCAACCAGTTAGCCTTAAGTAACAACCATTAAAGTTGCGATACTTGCTGGTATCTCATAGCTACTGTCGGCACTGTTTACTTTTGTAAAACAGAGTTTAGAGGTTGTGCTGAGGAAGGTCATTTAACACAGAACTGTACACCTTGTCCCTGTGGGGGTGCCACTCACACAGCCGTGGTGTCATTTGAGATTTCTATGAACCCTGTCGGTGGGGTCAGGGAGGTGTGTATAGGGGTATAGTGAGAGACTATACCTACTCCTTCTAATTTTACTAACCCCATTTAACTTGACCAATGTCACCGACGTGCAATTTGTCTTAAGTGTTTTTCTTTGTCAACCTAATGCCCTTTTAGCTGTTGAGTCAGAGAAAGATCTCAGTAAATAACATCAAGTTTTGTAACAGGAGAAGGTGAAACGAGAAGCCACGGCCGAGTAAAGGAACACATTGTATTTCTCACTTCTTTTTTTTTTTTTTCTCTCCCTACAACACCTTTTGTTTTCGTTTCAGTCCCACTGAGTCAGCAGCTTTTTGCTTTTTTTTTTGTGGTGGATGTTGGGAGAGAGGGCCCGAGTTGGGCCTCATGTGGACACGATATGATCTGTTTTTCATGGATTTGTGTAATTGATATGATTTGTGCTGATTTGAAACCTGACACTGTGGTGTTGGGGGCGTAAGGGAAGTCAAGAGAGGCGATGGTGGAAGGGAGACACTGACGTATACCGGGATTAGGAGGTTAGAGAGGATAAGGTTTTGTAGGTCGTGTCCACTTTAGCGAGTCTAGTGTTTTGTCTAGTGCTACTACAACTGATCCTGTGGCGATAATGCCAACACTCCTTCCAATAGTAATTGAAACAAAGGCTAACATCCCAAATGAGCAGACAGAAATTTGCCTCACGGTAATATGTAGTAAATTGTAGGGCATTACATTTGCAATTACTCTAATCCTTTCGGGTCCATTTTGAGATGACTCCCAATTTAATTCCAGCAGCATAAAAAAAAAAAAAAAGGTACAACAGAAAATGCAATAAATGCCTGAGAGCTAAGCAATACCCACACACACACACACACACACACAGACATGGCGGAGACGTAAGATATTAAAAAAAATGAACAAGGCTGTCACAAAATGTTATTAAGAAAGAAGAACAGGAGGAGGTTGCTGTGGTGGAGAAAGAAAACATCAATCATGACAAGTTGTAGTAACAGTAGGAGTGTTGTAAGTAGGAACTGTCATCAGCAAACTTTTGAACTGTCCCTCGAGGATGGGATTCTTCATATAGTATCTAAAAGAGAAATCCATGTCCCCAAATGCACTTTTCTAGTTCTGCTTTGCTAAGCTGGAGGTCAGTGTTGCCCACCTTAATTAGCGATGTTGATTTATTGCCTTTAAACTGGTTGTATTTTGGTTCGTAGCGTGACCCACTTAGAATTCTCTCTCTCCTGCTTCTTTACCTCCACCTCTTCCTCTCCTTCGTTCCCTGTCTCTCTATCTCTGATGATTCTGTGCCCCCAGCACCCTCCTCCCCCTTTATCAGCAAAATTACCCTGTCGGGCTTGCTGCGGAATTAGTCATTTTCTATATGACATGGCCTTGTCTGTGGTGGCGCTGAGATAGGGATCTATTTTTATGTGGTATCAGTGCCCCGGGGAGGCTTTCGGAGGGTGAGGATCCCATACGTAGTGAGGGGTGAGGCCAGGCCACAATCATGGATTATCATGATTTACGGCCTGGCTGCGAGAGAGAGAAAAAGGGAGGGAGAGAGAGAGAGAGAGAGAGAACGAAAATGAGAGTCGGGGGGGGAGAGAGAGAAGGAGTTTCTGGATGACATCATAGCAAAGCATGAGAAAGGCAGAATAAAAGTACAGTAGTTGCACAAAGTTTCACCGCTAATATAAAATAATGTGCTTCATCGTCCACCTTCGACGACACACCGCGGACACGGCTATGCGGTACCACATCGCGGTAGTAGACCAAACCTAAAATGCTATGTTGTTGTTTCTCTCCACCTTCAAGCCCCGATCTTTTTTTTTTTTTTTTTTTGCATTGATTTGCTGACAGCACTGAAATGGAAAATACCTGAGTTTGCAGCAACAAAAGAAAAGCATGTCAACTTTGTGAGATATTGGGACACAGTGGGTCAGAGAAATGGACCATCTGAGGTCAGCCAGTCCTTTGCTGCGGGTGGCACTTTTTGCTCATGGACGCTACTATCTAATTCTAAGTTACTTGTGCTGAAAAACAAAGCCTTTCTCTGCTTTGCTGGCTTGAGTAAACTCAGATAGACCTCCCACACTCATGTGAACATATACATCATGTACCTGCAGTGTGTGTCCACATGAATGCAGGTAAGCGTTCCCTGCCCACCTCCCCTGAGCACAAATGCTTTCTGTTGCATTTCAATGAGGATCGCAGTGGGAGAACAGGATGGGATTCCACACATTCTGCAAAGATATTTGAGAACATGGTGCTCCTTACCTCTATGTCTCTCTTGCTCTCAGGTCTTTGCCCTCCTGAGGCTATGCAGAAAAAAAAAAAAATACATTTTCATCAAGTCATGTCTTTTCAAAAATCAATTTATTCAGCTTTGTTGTGATGTGGAACAAGTTCAGTGTAAATCAAAGAAGGCTTCACAAACAAAGCTGCCGTAAGTAGCACAGGAGTCCTTTTGATAACCCCTGTGCTTCGCCGTCTTATGGGTGGGTCTTGTGTGCAGCCAGAAAAATGCCCCGGTGCGTTTAGTTAGGGTTTGGGTTATGCCAACTGAAATGCAGGTAGAAAGAACAAAGTCCTGGCAAAGCAGTGGAAATTTTTGCGCAATGGTAGTATGGCATACAGATCAAACCAGTGAAAGCTATAGAATGTCTGAATTGATTTAACCGACATGTGCTGTGCTTATCTTCCAGAGTATAGTCTGCACAATGGGACTGAAGTGGTATCCGCACCCAGAATTGCTCCACTGCATCAAAGGATGCGAGGTAAGGGCTCGACCTGGGTTGCACAACTTGACCCTTAGATGTCATACAAGTGGTCACTGATACCGAAACTCGACATGAAAAGACAAAACTCGGGCATTAAACCCATGTGAAAAACCTCAGAGTCGTTTTTGGACTCCAGTTTTGAGCCTCACATTAGAGACATTAGAATCTTTAAAGAACAGTGCAACTGATTTTCAAGCCAACACGGTCTCCCCCAGAAGAATATATATCTCAGCTACAACTGCTTCAAAACCAGCTGCACGTGTGTTGTGAGCACACGTTGCACTGACTTTAAACTCTCTGCGCCGGCTATCTGTCTGTTTTAGAGCTGATTTTAGGATCCTTTTATTGGTTTATAAAAGGCCTAATGCTCTTGGTCCTACCTATTTATCAGATTTGCTTTTATTCTATGAACCTTTGAGAGCCTTCAAGTCTTCTGATAGTGGCCTCGCAAGTATAACTCAACCAAAAACCTAATGGTAAATCTTTTGTTTTTTTTATGATTATCATAATTTTGCTCATGTTTCTACAACAGCCTTCCTGAAGACTTAAGGGCAGCGGAGAGAGTTTTTAAAAAAAAAAAGCAAACTCCAGATTTGCCTTTGTAGTCTAATTGATCATCACTTATATTTGTTTTATTTATTTAGACATTTAAATCTATTTTGCTGTTTGGATTTTTTTGACTTGTCCTGCTTCTGGTATTCCTTTACTTCAAATTTATGAGATTTATAAGATTTATTAAGGATTTCGTTTCCTTTGTCCCTAGTTTTATTGAGTCCTTCATTTATCACATTATCATTTATTGCTTTGTGCTTAGAAGAGGAGGTTGGAGGCTTGAGTTTTTTTCCTTTTTGTTGTGTAAAGCACTTTAATTTGTATAAAAAAAAGTGCTGTGCAATTAAAATCTATTAATTGATTGACATAAACCACCCGAACCTGAGATGAAGACGCAACTTTCGTCCTACATCAGCAGCAGGTTCTTCTCCAGCCTGGATGATGAGTGTCAACATATTAGCAAGTAAAGGATCCACATTAAGGATTTCCTACACAAGCTGCACATGTGGTTGTTAACAGAAGCCATTCAGGCGTTTGTAAGCCAGTTAAAAACGCTGAGACCGTCCTATCGGATTAATAGATGTCCCCCATTCAAAAACTCCAACTTGCTGCAACTTAATGTAATTACCGATGCCTCCTACTAATAATCTGTTGGCGCGATGACGTCACCGCACGCTAAATTTATCTTTCCTTGCGAAAGAGAAAGAATTCCACTCGGCTTCACGGAGGAATGATATCATCTACTTAGTTTAGGCCAATTCGATAACCTGATTGGTAACCCAAGCAGAAGGGTGGGGCCAACCCAATAAATCACCTTACTGAAGCATTTTGTGCAGTGAATAGTTTATGGTGTCCTCAGTTTGATTTACGGGTCTGGCCGACTAAGGGCTTAAAAAGTCACATTGAAAAATGAGGAAAATTTAATGTATCAGATTCATCAGCAAATTTGTCCAGAGACTTCTCAAGGCCCTGAAATGCTGAGAAGAAAATTAGAACAAAAGGCTTTAGGTGTTAGGGTAGTAGCTGTAAAGCTGGCTTTTTCTTTGCTTAGTGTGTTTGTCTAACTGCTGGACTCTCTCTCTGTCTCTTGTGTAGCCATTCATGGGAGACAACTACTGTGATTCAGTCAACAACAGAGCCTTCTGTAACTACGATGGAGGAGACTGCTGCCAATCCACTGTCAAGACCAAGAAGGTTAGTGTCGTGTTTGTACCTCACTCTTCGATGTTGGCTGTAGTCACACAGTTAGTGTTTTTTAAAGTCATGTTAACTTGGATGCTTTGACTTTCTCGCTGCCTTGCATACAGTGGAGGTCGCCTGTTGCCTTTATCCAGCTTTGACATTCATAACTAACATTGTCTACCTACACAAGGTATGCATAATGGAAACCAGAACAGAATACACAGTTGGAGACTGCTGTATTTCACCTCTTGGAACATCTCTAAACAGTTTTTCCCTTCCTTTGTCTTGGGTCCAACCTTAGATTACTGGTAGACAGATTACGGATCCCACATCCAAGAGAGTGGGAGTCTTTAGACTTCATCAGTAGTCTTTTTTATCCTGCGGTATCCTGTTTCCTAATGTGTTTTGTGTGTGACTGCGCTCACGCCACCGCCCGAAATCTGGCTAATTTGAATCTAACTTATTAATCAGGCGACCACTTCTGATAATACACGTACATGTTCTATCTGTCAACACTCATCGCGCTGTTGTGTTTCAGCACCGAGCTGTGCGTGTCAAAAAAAGTTTGGTCATTCTTGGTAGCAACTCTCCTAATTCAGGGAGGTGCTTTGTCTTTCGCATTCCAGCCGGCTGCTGGCAGGAGATCTGATTGGGAGTGTATTGTAGCTTCTGGGCTGCAGCATCTGCTTCTCTGGCCTGGCCTGTTTCTGTGAATCTGGCAAGGGACTTTAGTTGTACTCCTGGCATATCCATCTGTGTGTCTGGCTGGATTTATATTGCAGTCTATGCATCTCACTGGCTATGTCAGTGTGTCTTACTGAAGAGCCTCTTCATTTCCTCTTTTGGGAAATAAGACACACAGAGGACATCTCATCCCATGTAAACATCTTCAGCAGTACAATCAAAGTTCTCCTGTTTGGATCTACCCCAACTCTACATGGTTTGTCATGTGCTTTTTTTTAGTCTTTAGCCACGAGTATGGAGATCATCACCTTTCTTTCTTTCTTTCTTGTCTAGTTAATTTTTCCCAGAGACAGTTCCTTTAATATTTATTATTTGTTCCTCGTCAATTTAATGAAGTAATTACAAAATCCAATACTCGACCTTGTGTGAAACGCTGTCCACCCTGTTACGCAGCTACTCGTCACGAAATTTTCACCGAAAATTGAAAGTCCCATCCGCGGTTTCAGCTAGAGCTCACGTTATCCGCTGCCAAGAGGTATCACCAAAATATGTACTAAAAAAAAAAAGACACTGACGACTCTGACAAATTAATGCGGTGCAGCTTTATCACAACAGTAATATTCCAAAGCCATCAACATCTTCGCTGAAAAATTACTGGTAATTGCTGGTGCAAGTAAATTATCGAGAGAGAAAATCTCTATTTTTGTAATCATCACAAATGACTAAATATCTGGTTAAAGAAAAAAGAAAAAAGTTCTGGGCAAATCATGCTAAAGAGAGGCCAGGCACACAGCTGCTCTTCATATATTTAACTGCAATCTGCTACTCAAGTATGAACATACATCTACTAGACAGACGTCCAGAGGTCCAGGGTTTGTTTTTGCACTTTATTCATAACTTCATCGTCACATGTAAAAATATTGTATTCCGACTTCAATACCAGCAAGAACGTTGGTGAGCAACCCTCTGGGAGGTGACCTCACTCCCGAAGTGGTTTTTCTGTGTGTTGATTGACGCTATCTCATCTCTACATCTTTTGACCCCAATCCAGTGCAAAGGGCTTAGCCAGAAACTTGCATAACTCACTTTTACTGACAGACCCCAGCGGGAGGATCGACTCCATTAAACTACCGCGGCAACAAGAAGTTGAGTTGGGTGAGAAGAGAGCAGGCCAAGGGGTTGGGAGACTTACGAGCTGTTTTGCTCAACATCAAAGGGATGCATAGCCCGAACATCTTACATTCTGATGTCAGGTAACACGTCTATTGTTTAAAAATGAAATGCCTTTGATGGTTTTGACATTTTGATTACTTTTAAAAAAAATGGTTTAGACTAGTCCAAAGCTTAAGACAAAAGATGAATGGGAATATTGTTCTTAGTCTAAAATTAGCCTCTAAAACCATCTGATATTACAAAGCAACCATTAGTCACGATCGCCATTAATCATCATCCATACAGATGTACAATTTGTTTCCATCCAGTCAGTGAAATAGCTTTTTTAACCATTAGCATACACTAGCGATCCCTCTATTCTCTATGCAGCCAGACAGCATCCAAGTGCACCAGACAAAAGCAACAGATTTTGCGTATTTAATCCTGCCAGAATGTCCTCTGTATCAAGTATTTGACATCTTGAAGATCTGTTCACATGTGCAGGATAAGACATCCAGTTCAAACTGTAAGTATTTTGACACTTGTGCATTTTTTTTTCTTCCTTGGGCTGCACACCTCAGTACATGAAATGAAAGAAGTACACTACAGCAAAGTTCCAAGTCTTAGTTTGTCTGGAAAGAACAATGTGAGAGATACTTTCCTTTTAACACATAGTTCCCAAAGTTTAGGAATTCAAAAGTGATTTGACAGATGTACATAAAGCCAAAAGAAAAAGTCTTTATATTTAGTACTTTGTGGAACATGCTTTGCAGTCAGTGGCTGCCGATAAACATCACCAGATGCTTTAGATCTTCATTGGTGATGCTTTCCCAGACCTTCGTTGCTGCAACCTTCAACTGCTGCATGTTGGCAGGTCTCTCTCTGCCTTTACTCGTGTTCTCAACCAGTCAAATGCATTTTCAAAAGGATCGCTGACTGACTCAGTCTGTGACACTGAGAAACTGTCTGGCTGCTTTGGCTGGAAAATGAGATGTCATCCCCAGAGTTGGGATGCAATCGGCTGAAATCTGAGCACACCGAATGTTCCTGCACACCTCTGCATTCAGAAATGTGCAACTGTCCAGAAACTTATTGTTTCAAACGGGCGTGTTCTCCTGCACCTTAGCTTGTAGACAAATCTCCAAATATCTCTTTAGTCCACTTAGGTGCTGGTGTGGTCCTTATTCTTCTGCCTACACGTTTGCCCACGGCTTCTAAGCTACAGTGAAAGTTTGTTTACTTTGACTCTCCTTTCCCTGCTGGGGCTCAGCCTGCCAGCTGCTGTTAATCAAACATGGACACACCTCTCTCCTGGCTGAGAGGGGAAAAGAGCATTTCTGATATTTCCCCAAATAACTTTTGCCTTTAATAACAAAGCAGTCATTCAGAGATTTCGAATGACACCGGTTTTTTTTTTTTTTCTGAAGCAGTAAAAAGGGATGACACAATATGATTTCAATTTTCAGGATTTAGATCCTTGCAGAGGAATCTGTGATGCTGTCAAGAAGGTTGCATCGTAGACGTAGTGTCTACAAAACAGGTGTTACTAGTTTGCAGAAAGGCGAAATCAAAAGGCAAGTGACGGATCAAGTCACCCAGTAAATACTTGGTTCTAACTTCTGTCAATTTTGTGTAGACAGATCGGATAAAATGCGTCTCCTTTCCAACTACTGTAAAAGTGAACTTTTCAGTGGGCTGCCACAGTAACTAGATGACCTAGGTTCAAAAAGTCAAGGGTGCTTGTCCACATTCTGCCTGGAAACACTATGCCTGGGCATTATTCTCGAAACAACAGCAGCAGGATGGTGTTTTCCACTAGTGGGTCCCCTGGAAACTATTCAGGAAGAAACAAAAAATAGCTCTGAAACAACCAATCATAATTTGACTTATCAGCTGCCAGGAGCAAGGGGCGAGGAAAGGTTACCGCGGGTGAGAAGCAAAAAGGAAACAGTAAGGACTTAAGCTGATATGTGAAATTGATACGGGAACAGAGGAAAGCCAGATGTTTGATATAATCCCTTTTTCTTGTTAGCCCATTGCCTAATTGATGCTGCATGCTTGCAAACACATGTTGCTTAATGCCTCGGCCAATATAAATATACCTTTAAAAAAAAAAAAGAAACTCAAATTAAGCTGAAGCTTGAAATTAATACATTTAAACAACCTTCCTGACAACAAGGTTATCTTGTTGTTTTATGGCACTACTTTGATATTGTTGCCCACATTTATATTCCCTCTGTAATCATCATGTCGGTGCTTGCCTTGAGTTAGGCATTTGGATGTTTATCTCTTTTGGGGGAAAGCTTATCCGCCCAGTCATCCCTATTTGATCAACGCCGTCAAGTCAGAAACAGGCTAATTTGCACCTGATTCTGATTTTCCCCGAGCCCAACACATGCACGGCAGGCAAGCCGCGATGGAGATGCATAAAAACCTCTTAAAACAAACACAAGAAAAACAACATTGAAGACACAATATGCGACAAAAGGAATCTGTAAGTCATTACTTACAGTCCCTGTCTGCTGAGCTGCTGAGTAACGCGCTCGCTGGCTGACAAAGACAAGCAGTGTTTTCCTCTTTAGCGGGAAATCAATGTTCCTGTCCAAACCACAAGTGAAGACTTTGTCCCATTTTGTTTAATTGTTCTTTAACACATATTTCATTGACACAGATTTAGCTGTTTGTGTCACAGTGCGAGTCATTAGATGTCAGCTAGCAAAAAATATGTATATTTATTGCTGGCCCTTGCATTTGTTTTATACAAGGACAAACATATTTATGCATATGTTCTTTATGTGTTTTTAATAGGTCTGTTTAACTAAAGCAAACATTTATTTATTGTATTTAAAAAAAAAAAAAAACCCTCTGAAACCAAAAACCCGCTGGTGGGCTGAAAAGGCGTGTTATCTTTGCCAAAATGCCAAAATTCTGCACATTTTTAGAGCCAGAAACTGTAAACAAATAGTTTTCTCACAGTCCTTGAACTAATCATAAAGCAAGTGAAATTCCATCAGGAAAACTAACCAAGTCTAAGCTAAAGATTATGACATTTCATCAAAATTACTTTTTTTCTAAATGCTTTCTTTGTAAGTGTGCCAAATATAATGGCACTAAATATTTGCTAGAACAAAATTCAGTTAAAAAAATAAATAAATTGTACTTCTTGATGCAAATGT